GAGAAAACTGCATAATGGTGAGCTTAATAATTTGTTTTCCCCCCAATCTCTTCAGGGTGATTAATTCAAGAAGAATGAGATGGGTGGGGAATGTGGCACGCATTGATGGGGCAAATGGTGTTCATTGGTTATTGATTGGGAAGCCTGAGGGGAAGGTCCACTAAGGAGACCTAGACGTAGATGGGAGGATAATCTCAGGCAAGATCTTTGGGAGATAGGAGTTGAAAGAGACTGGATTTTGTTTCCCCAGAACAGTGTCCGGTGGAGGGCTTTGGTTAATTCGGTGATGAACCTTCGCGTTCCGTAAGCCATCTACTTATTTAGTTAGTTGGACTAGCCCCTTGCTCTATCCTCCTTAGCATCCAGTATTGCCCTTTCTTCAAACCACTTGTTAACTGATGTAGTTTCCGCAAAGTAAGAACCAGGCTTATTTATCTAATATATTTCATATCTGGTCTAGTAAACAGCATGTTAATGGTGTATGAATTGCATAACAGCAATAATTTATGAAACTCTAATAGAGCTATAGGTATTAGTTCTGAGTTCATCAACTCTAATTGAAAGACCTTGTTACATTTGTTTACACTTTTTCCATTAAGAATCGCTACATAAAGATTTTGTCCTCTTGTAAACTATCCACTCTTAACCAAGGTGTACTGCCAGACAGAGTGTGGTCCATGTAGCCTATGTGACCCTGTAAGTAAACCCAACAAAAGATAAGGTGGATTTAACTTTACCTTTGTGTGGCAGTTGAAGATTAATCAGAGACTGCAATGTGGCCGCGTGCATCAATCAGTATATTTTTTGGATGACACCGATCTGAAAGGAAGAAATTAACGAGTTATTTGCACAGTGTGATATGCTGCTTTTTAACCTTTACACGACGGGGATTTAAATGGCAAAATGGTAGCAGCCCTACTGGGGTTTTTTGCACGTTTTTAAACTTTTGTGCACGCTCCACGGAAAACTTTAATATTATCTAAAGTAAACATGATAAATTGACGAAATAAAAGCCATATTTATTCGAATAGAACAGAGAATACAT